TATTTGTAATGATTTGTGTACACTTTTTCATGTAAGTTTTCAGAATTAATAAAGAGAAATAAAACAGGTCTGGGGTTGATTTAGTCCAGTTAGGCATTTGATTTCACTAGGTACTTTCTAAATTGGTCTTGCATTTCTTGTAAGCATTGATTAACAATCTTCCAGACTTCAATTTAATTTTTAAAATTAGTATTAAGCAATCTATGTGAAGATGTGTCCCTCTATAACTGTCATAGATTAAAAAAAAAAAAAAAAAAAAAAAAAGAGAGAGAAGCTATACAGTTCAAATTTGTTTGTTTTTAAGTATAAAGTTCCTAAAGGACATTCCAGACAATATTGTTTTGTTTCCTTTTCAGAAGTTAATTCAAAAGTTAAAATATTGTATCTCTACCTTTTTGCCATGTTATTCCAGTTTGTGAATTTATTTAGGCTATTTTAAAGTCATACGCTAAATAATTATTCTGCACAATAAAATCTTATTACCTCTTCCTAAATATATATATATATATTAATATACATATTTATACAAAAATATTTCTTTTGTTTCCTCTGTAGCTTAAGAGACAATGCATTAATCAATGGAAAGAAATACTCCTGGATCCTGAGACACAAGCACCTCTCATTAAATACAGCTGACCCTGGCACAGATTTCACTCATTTTAGTTAGTAGTTTCCCAAAGAATTTCAGGACATAACTCAAGAGTTAGCTCACATGAGAAGGCATTCCCTGTAGACAGGGTGCATATGGTCACTAGATTTTTAAGGACAAGACACTTTGAAGAAACAGAGTATCTCGTGTCACTTTGTCTTGGCATAGAGGGAGCCAAAATATCTAATAAAATCAGACCATTTTCCTTGAAGTGGAGGTATCATTGATAATTCGGAATAGTAGGTCTGTAAGTATTCCTGTTTTGAGACAATATGAAGTCCTGAAAATATGGTAAAGGGTCATCCTTTCTTATCCATCTCCCCTAGTGTGTCTAAAGAGAAAATAAGTTGATCTGAAAGCATTATTATTTTGAGGTGAGATTTCCAGATAACGTCTGGATCACATAGTTAAGCTTTAAGAATATTTATTTTAATTGAGGATAACTTATTTTTTCCATTTAGTATCAGTGGCTTACGTACTTTAAGATCCTAAATTAAATCTTATATAAGATATATTTAGGATGTCTGTTTCTGAAGTATTTTTTGTATCTTTCTGGAAGGGTGTTGTTCCTTGGGTATCTACCTCTTTGTAGATTTACAGAAAAATAAGGTCAGAAACAATTATCAGAGGCCCCTCTACTACACCTCCCTGCCCAAGTCAAATCACTAAACCTATTTCCCAACATATGTTTCATCTAGCCTCTTCCTACAGACCTTCATAACTGATTTCAGAGCTTCCCCTGACACTCTCTTAGAACTGTTTGCCATCCTCACTATTAGAAAGTTCCTCACAGTATCTCATCTGGATGAGTCTATTTCTGCAGTCTTTCTTTCTCGTCCTACCTGCTATGGATGCAGAGAACAAAAATCACCTCCAGTATTCAGCTTCTAACCACCCACTTGCCTCTTTCATTCCATTTTCATTTCTAGACCTACTCAAGAAATCCTTCCCAAGCTTCCATAAGAGCCCTGTTGAGGCATTCTTTCAAGCAGCACCTCTCATCTTCCTCAGAAAGATCTCAGTCATGATTTCCTATTGGCAAGTAAATCTGATAATAATTTGAAGCAAAACAGTCAGATACTTTAAAACATTAAATAAAATGAAAGACCTCTGAAGGAAACACTATTAAAGACTAAGTAGAAAATGGAGTCCAGGTAGGGATGAGAGGATGGAAGCATTGCAGGCCAGTACATCTGGAACACCATCAAGTCACTGGCTTAAAATGCACTTACATGTAAATAACCAAACATTTGAAAGCTTCCTTCAAATCCATTACTTCAGTTAAAAAGTAGCATAGTTGCTGCTTAGCTTTGTCATCTTTGAACAAAACCACTATTAAAAAAGCCTATTAGAGTCCCACAAGCCTCTAGATTTATTCCTATTTTTTTCTTGCTGACATTGACAGGATTTGTTTGTTGTTGTTTAGCATGATGATCTTTAGTGTTATGAATTGCATTATGAAGTAATTTTTAAAAAGAACATTCTATAAGCAAATTAGAGAATCTGTTTAAGGAGTAGAAGTAAGATGAAGGAGATTGATCCACATGATAATTTATTTCAATACCTTGTTAGCAAGATAGATGGAATGAGATGGGGAAAAGCACAAACTGATCTGGATGTTTTTGAGACCAAAAATGGAGGGGTCATGTCCTCTTTTTCTCAGAGACTTGTAAAAAAATGGGGAAACAAGTAAAAAAGGAGGATAGAGACACTTTAAAATAGAACACTGGAAAGACAGAAATGCACTGCTGAGACAGAAAGCGATAAAAACTTATGTATAGAAAAAGCAATATAATCAGAATTTCCAAGCACAGAGGAAGGAAACAGAAAGCTTCTGGGGCTGATAAATGCAGACAATAAGTAAAATGGGATCTGAGTCAGAAATGTGGTATTTCAAGTGATATTTAATATGGCTGGGTGCTACCCAGAATTTTGGTAATAGGCTTAAAATAAAATCAATTATATTTTTTCCAGTGCTAAATAGCACATTAGAAGACTGAAAGGGGCCCTGGAATGTCACACAACGGTGGAAATGGAAGAGAGAGAAAAGGTGACACAAAAATCTGTAAGAGGCAGGGGACATGAAAACATTGAACACCCATGTATTCATTAAGACATTACTGTAATTCTTTAAATAAATATTACTAATTGAATAAAAATGATCAGTATATTTTACAGAAATTGGACTAACCTGGCTACAGAACACACTACATTTTCTCAGTCTATATTTGAAATTTAACTGATTACATGACCTATACCAAATTTTCAAATATTTCCATAAAACTTTTGGAAGTTTTCATTGATAGAAATCCATTGAGAATAAACCTACAACTAGAAAAAATGGAAGTGACATATACCAGAACTATTCACCTTTGGGAAAAACATTTGGAGATAATGCATGATATCGCCAATCTCCCTACAATAATCAGCTCACTCAGAAACATCATCTGTAGCTTTTAATGGGTAAAAGTTACCCAAAGGTTCTTTTTTCCATTTTAACATAGTCCAGCTTTACAATTTTTCCCTTTGAGCAACTTGGTCTCTTAAGTGTTCTGAATTATTCTGCTAGAAAAAGTCTAATGGTATTTCTTATCTAATATGTCTTACTGATGCCATCATATTTTTTCTCAGTTTACAACTGTTCATATATATTGTTCAATTTTTAATACATCTGCCAGCAAAGGAAATTTGGTTTGTGTTTTGCTGTGTTTCTTCTGGCATCAACACAAAGTCTCCAGGCCAAATACAGCTCTCTCTTACTCTTGTGGAATCCTACTGCCTCCGATATGTATCCTCTGTCTTCAGTGGAGAAACTGAAGGATATGCTTCTGCAATTGCAAGAGAATCAACAAATCTATTCATAATATTTTGCCCAAAAGACCCAGCATGTTTTCCCGCAGGTGAATTGGTACTGGATTCGAGAAAATGAACAAAATGAAAGAAAACATATATATCTAGAGGAGTATCGAACACAGTTCTAACTACATACACAAAATTAGACCAAGCCTGTGCCACTTTTCAAAAAATATTTGCAAAGAAGTACCCACTTCTTCCTAGTACTGCCAGACAATTTCTGAGCAGAGCAATCTTCACAATTTAATCTTCAATTCTTCAATTTAAGTTAGCCAAACGGATCAAAAAATACCATTTAAGGGAAAAAATCCAGTACTAAGCTTTTTGGCTTTTCTACCTGAACGCATTTGCTTCTCTTAGTAACATATAAAACTTCTAGAATAGGAGCCCAAATGTTGAAAAGAGGGCAGGCTGTGGTGTGATACAGATAGTAGCAGTGAAGTAGAAGCAGTAGCACCTTTAAAAGTCCACAATCACCTGTCCTTTAAAGTCCTTGGCACTGGGATAATGCATTGAGGAGAAGAGTCATATTCACTGACATTCAAAAGGCTTTCTACTTCAAGGCCACCTTAGTTTTTAAAATGCAGTAATCAATCATTTGTTTTAGCTTCCCAACTCTTGACAGATCTTGAAGATTCTTAACTCCAGAAACGTCAAAGCAAGTTAAGGTTCTAATATAACAATTTAAATATAGATTTCAATGATCCATAGTAAAGTACTCTTACCATTGATATAAAGTAGCATTGCTAACAGCTTTTAGGATATAGGATTCTATTATATACATCTATACCATTTTCCTGAAAGTCATTATAGTCATGCTTCATATATGTATTTTTTTCTAAAACGATACTATGCAAATTGCTCTTGTTTACCTAAAATTTCCCTAGAATTGTTTAGATTATATGATTCTGATTCCTTATAAAATAAAAACTTGACCTTTCCCCTTCCCTCCCATCATGTTTACTTCCTTTAAAATAATGAAAACTATTTGTGACTCTACTTGACTAACTGAGGACAATCAGATTAAGGCTGACTTCCTCTAACTTGTTTTCTTGTGTCTAAATATTTCAGCAAATATTCAAGATCACACAAATTAGGCTCAAGAGAATAAACTAACAGGGTGTCAGTCTTGACAACAATCATCATGTTATTGCTTCACATTAATTCTCGGAGTCATTTTTAGCACAATTTTAGTCTTTTTTCCTTTGTACTTTATATTAACAGAAGGGTCAAGCTTGAAAAACATAGAAAAAGCAGGTGTGTTTCAAGAATGCAGTACTAACATCAGGCAATACAACTCGAGAGTTCAACATCATAACTACAAAATAAGCATTTCTGTGATAAGTAAGTTTGGATAGATTTTTAACAGTGACAGCAAAACACAAATCCATTTTCAAATGCTGCAGAATGAGCAACCACAACTTTTTCAAAGAGGGGATGCAGCAGCCAGCCCAATCCAAAACAAATGAATTCAAGTGGGAGTGTGTTAAGCGCATACCTCAGACAAGCAGCAGAGAAGAAATCCATTTTAGAAGAGATGCTGAAAGAGCTTGATGTCCACCTGGCAAATTTCTTGTGCTGTTTGAAAAAGCAAGACGGTTCAGATTATGAACCGAATTATATTTATAGCAGTACAATCAGTCTTGATCTGTATGTAAATAAAAACAAGGTTTTCTAGCAAAGTACAGAATCAGAAAGGCTGGAGAAAGAGGTAGATGTGGAAAGAAGGGGAGGGGAAAAAAAGAGGAGGGAGCCCCTTCCACCTTCAATAAACCTCAGCCATTTGGATTTAGCCTTAAAGAAGAGCTTCTCCATGGGAAGGAAAGCTGTACACTCCTGCAAAGCTAAGGTCAGCCCTTTGTATGTTTTCCATGTGAAGGAACAACAGGAACAACATAACTTCTGTAACTTCTAAACAGTTTAGGGGAAAAATCTTGAATAATAAAATTCAAAAAACAAACAGGCAAAAACAAAACAAAACAAAACAAAAACAAACAAACAAAAAAAAACACAAACAAACAAAAAGGCAAGAATTCAAATACGTAAGTCCAGAGAAATCCATCTTGTAACAGAATATTGTACTGCTAAACACACCTGACTGCAGCTTTAAAATCATTTTTAAAACCACCAAACTGTACTTGCTCCTTACTTATATGCTTATCATTAACTACAAAGCAAACATTTGAATATGATATTAAAATAAAATTAAAAAAAAAAAGTTGGGTGGACCCCATATGAACAGACAATGTAAGTAAACTGAGGTCTAGGATTTCATGTCCTGCTGGCTTACCTGATAAAACATGAATTTCAAATTTATTATGAGGAAAAAGAAAAATAAAACCCCAAGATATAGCAATGATGAAATTCTCTCTAATAAATGTGTTCAGATTCCCAGTTCCAAAAGATTACCAAGTATTCACGAATTGCTGCATTGCATTCGCACTGGGAAGAGGAAAAAAAAAAAAAAAAGAAAAAAAAAAACAACAACACTGCAGTATCCTCTCTGCTTCATCCTCAGCTTCCTGTTCTGAGGCTCACTCACTCTGTGGTACCTAATACAAATCAGCAAATAGCGGGCCAGAATAAAAAAAAAAATAAATAAAAAAAAATTAAAAAAAAATAAAAAGCGGGGGGGGGGATAAGGGGAGGATGGAGAGAGACCGTCAGGGGATAGAGACATCACCTTGAAGGACAGCCCCATCTACCGGCAAAAGCCGTGAATCGGCTGTTACCAGCAGTTTTTTAAGTGGCTAATAAAATCTACGGCTCCGTGTTCCTTCAGCAAGGGGGCAAGGATTGTGCTGAGAAGTAGATTTCCTCATCTACTGTTAAACAAGTAAAAATTCTTACTAGTTTTCATTATTTTCCGTTAATTATTTGCCTCTGAAATGTGAGATGGAAATTGGGTACAGGTATTCCGTTACAAAAGCACCAAAAAACTTTTCAGACCAACCTCTGCCACTGCTAAGTGCTACTTATCCTTGTCTTATTCTACACTTCTCCACAGAGTAGCAGAGGTAGATTCAACATGTTTAGTCATGGTTTCAACCCAATAAATAAATAAAAAGGAAAAAGGTTCTTTTGGTAGAGTCATATGATATTTCCATCTATTACAGACTGCATTGCCAGTCTCCCAGCCTGGTACATGAGTACCTTGTCAGTATCAGATCTATACATTACAGTGTTTTCAGATGGCAGCTGGGCAGCCAGATCTGGAATCTAAACAAAAAAGGCTTCTTTTTAAAATTCAGACTCCTAAATAACAGTAAATACTAATACAGCAAACTGCAGCTGTGCTGGATCAGCCTCAGTTTTGAGCTAAATCAGACAGCATTATACATTTCTAGCTTTTCTTCCTTGACAAAAAGTGGAACTAGGATGGCTTTCAGAAAGCACTTGAAAACCATAGATTCACTCATGCTGGAAAAAGATGCTGGGCAGTCACTAAGAAGGTGGAAGGTGCACAGTAGAGGGGCCAAAAATAAAAAGACAATTTTTCATTATACAATGCATTTTTGGAATGTAAAGATAGAACAAAATAAAACAAATTAATACCTTCATGCAACAAGGCTGTCATCTGTGGTATAACAGATACTTACAGATATTATAACATAACCTGCAGTTCAGTGATCCAGGCAGATATTGTGAATTTGATCCCCTAGATTCAGATTCAGTATTGTTCTGATTCATTCATTTTCAATATTTATATATCTTGAAGTTTTGATTACTTAAATTTCACCTGAATCTAAATTATGTAAATTTCTCTAACTCCAGGTTGTGGCTTGACACTCTTGGCCCTTTACCACAAATACTTGGAGTCTCTTAGTACAATAACTAATTTGCAAGTAGGTTTGATAAACCTAACTTGCAATTTAGGTTTATCAATAGAAATGTCATTGTAACAAGAACAATGAAGTCTAATCTCAAAATTTTTTAAATATTTTCTGTGCAAGTATTACAGTGATTAAAAGAACACAGCAAGCAACCTCAAGACACTAAATATTTAGTTAAAATACACCATCATACATCCAGTAACACTCAGATACTGAGAAAAAAGTTATATAGCCTATATCTCTAATGGCAAGTTTAATAAAAATACTATTGTTTCTGGAAAGGTTAATATCAATAGAAAAAAAATGTGGTGGTGTGGTGGGCAATATTTTGCATTTTTTTTAAAGCATGCTATGAAAAGTTATCACCTTTCATATGTCCTCTGCACAGAAAAAGACCAAGCTGTAAACAACCATGCAGCTTTTATCCTTTAAATGTGTCTGACCACTAGAAAGACTTTACATGCTTTCCAGCACTGCTATCATGCTACCACCAGTTTTGAATTTAGCTTTCATGCTGGCAATACTGGTAGGCTACTAAATAGTACAGGCAGGTCCCCACTACCTATATGTGATTCCATTCTATGACCCTAAGGTATGAAGAGTCATAAACCTTTATCTTATTATTATTATCAGCCAACAGGCTCTTGAATTCTTAGTTGGATATAATTATAAAAGCTGTGTAATATATATATATTTTCATATCCTTGCAAAGTTCTTCAGGTTCACAAATACAGGTGACAAATTACTTGCAGGTGACAAATTACTTAGTAGTGATAGTAGCACTTCTGACTCAAAATCATCCTTAAAATTTGAAATACTAAAGAGATGTTAAGAAATCATTGCTGATTCCAACTGATCATTCCCAGAAATCTTTCCATTCATGGAGGATATTTCTGGAAATAGTGAATTGTTAGATGCTTATAAATACAGACTTATCACTAGGTTAAAAGGCAGAATAGTTACACTTCAGCTTGGAACTTTAATATGAATTCCTCCAGTACTGGCTACAGTTTGGGCATATTTGATATTTTACAGGCATAGCTCCGGCAAGATGTTCCATTTTGAAATCAGCTGAACACCAAAATGAAAAAAAACAACAACAACAACAACAAAAAAAAACTAGAATCTGGATAGCTTAAACAATAAATATAGTGTAGTAAAAGTCTTTTAGGTACACTTAGGTGTCTACAGGTTTAGTCCTGAACATAACACTGAACATATTAAGTTTCTCTCCAGCTTAATAATAATTTCAGTGTATCATGAATGCATGCAGTTTACAGAAGTCCTAAAAGGACCTTCTTTATATCACTAGAGGTGCAGAATAAGATGCTTAATATAACCACTGACTTCAAGAAATCTTCAAATATCTTTAGCAAAATACTGAAGGCTTTTTCAGGTAGCATTTCCTTCAGCCCAGATTTCACTGGACACACTGGTATTACCAAGTGCTCAGGTTCAGCTCCACCACTATTTGGTGTCAGGAAAATTAATATTTGTGGTTATCTTAAAAAGATCCTTTCATGGCTCCTTGAACCACAGCAAGTCATCTGATACAGGGTTTGATAGAGTCAGAAGAGTTTATCAACACAACAGCAACTTCCTTCTAACAGCTAAAGTGCTAAATCTTATTATTAATCTTAAAACATTATAATTTTAATGTTTTAAACTTACATGTTATACCACAATTGCAGAAAATAAACAAATGAAAAGTATAGATTTCTCTATCACATTAGCTGCTTTGACTCTAAGATAAAGTGAAAATTAATAAACATGATCTCCCTGCCCTCTTCCCCTCGAAATGCAACGTGCTGTTTTTACTGTCTGAACAAATAAGACATTACTGATAGCTAGTAAAATAAAACAATTTTCTAAACTAAGAAAGTCTACAATAATTGCATTTACTTCATAAACTTTTGATCACTTCTCCCTGCAGGTACTGTTACAATTTCTTCTGTTCTGAGTACAGCAGGAGCAATCACCTTCATGGACATGGGCTGAAGCGGCCACCCAACAGAACCAAAGGAGAGCGCATACACAACCTGCAGAGCATGGACATGGTTGTCAGGCAAATTTCCATTACTTCAGCCTTGAGTTTGCAATCTTATCAGATTTCAGATTCTGCAGAACTGGTAAATTTGCTTTAATGGAGTTTTGTGGTTCACATACCCTCCTACAAATTTTGACCAGTTCTACTCTTGGTTCTCCCTCAAATGTGCAAATATTTAACAGAACTGGCGAAGAACAGCACAGTAAGGTTTTGGCTCAAGTGCCACAAAGTGCCCAACCTTAGTGATCAACAGGCAATGGGGCATTCTGGTTTACTTCAGCAGATGAAAGGATTCATCTGGAAGTCCTTCTCTGGTTATCCTTTGCAGCACAGTTTTTTCTTTGTTTGTTTTTTTTTTCTTCCTCTCTGATACAGACATACGAAGTCCAGATTAAAAGAAAAGAATATAGTTTTGTTTGAGACTATCCTATTTCAGCTTCTATGTTGCAACAATTACAGTTCTTTTTAACATAAAGAAATCTTTAAAATTAACTTTTAAAAGCTTAGGTGTTCAACCATTGTGGCAAACCATGAAATCAACAAAGCAAAAGTGTGTTCTATATACATAGTTAATAAAGGGCTAAGAGCAATATTTTCTTTCTGAAATAACAATGTCTGAGGAACATTTTATTTGCCAATGCATTAAGAAATTTCCCTCGATTCTTCACAGTATTCACAGTAACTGTTTCTATTTCTGGGAATGATTTCTGGAAATTGCAGTGGATGTGGGAATTGGGTAATGGAGTAATCCATCTAATATATAAGGAAAGAGCCATCCAAGATCCTCCATAGAGAAGCAGGTGAACAGGATGATCCAGGAGGCTTTTGTTGTTTCTAAACTATGTGAACGCAATGTACTGCAATCACAGAAAAGCTATACATACAATCAAGAATGTTGTCATAGAGAGCCAGTATCTGGAAAAATTACACAGATTATAGCAGTACTGAATAGAAGATTGCTTCCAACTTATTTCAATGAAAACTGGAGAAATTCTTTTAATTAAAGACTAATAGCTGTTTGCGAAAGTAAGAGAGCACATCTTTCAGATGCTGAAAAAGGATCTTCAAAAGAAATAAATACAGTCCATTTCTACAGCAACTGGTTTTTGTCACAATTCTAATGTTTTTCTCTACTAAATTCAAATAAAAGTTGGCACTTCTGGACTGTGAAGTATCTGAATTTCTGAGAGTTCAAACATACATGGAAAGCTTGTGAATTATAGTGTTACAGACTTAAATTTAGATGTTACATCAGATAAATGCAGTTTGTAGTCTTTCTTTTTCAAATTAGCACTAACGACATACATTTGTCATCACAACATATATATATATATATCAACTACTCAAAGTGGGCAGAAATCGTCTGAGATATAAATTTATTTATAGAAACTAATAGTCTAATTTGCCTATGTGGTGGATCATAAAAAAGTGGTATTCCCATTGTTTATGCTAAACACACGTTTCTAAAATACTTTAATTCACACTCTTCCATATTGTTTACATGCTCCTCAGTTTAAGTGGCATTTCCATAACTATGAAGGAAGTACAGTCCCTTGTAGATCAGAAAACACTGGTACTGTGAGGAAAAGTGGAGATAAAAGTTTGTTAGAAACTCCAGCTGCATATTGTCATGTGCAGGAATATGTAAGTTATCAAAAGCAAGCTACTGATGTAGCCATGAATTGGGCAATACCATAAAACCACAGGAAAATACCAGGAGGAGGCAGTGACCACTAATGGTCCATATCCTGTATAATAGTGGGTTCATAACATACCATACAGATCAGAATCAATTTTTCAGCCATAAAGTGATATACCAGAATATAGTATACATAAGTACACGCAGGAAACACCATTTTCTTAGTATCCCAGTTCCAGCACCTGAAGCTTTGTGTGCTGAGAGACACTTTGCCTGTCCTGATATGAACTGTGCAAAAAATAACATTTCCAGAAAAACAACATACATTTAAAGACAATGTTTTGTGTTTTTGTTTGTTTGTTTGTTTGTTTTAAATAGATTCTTTAAACAAATAAGAAAATGCTCCCGCTCTTGAAACAGGACAACATACTAAAATACAATAGAAAACTATTTTAAAACACTTCAGGCAGCAAGAAACAAAGAACGTGAAGTACATCATTACAATAATGCATAGTGCCTACCAGTTTTGTTCTAAGCTCCTATAATATACTTTTATTTTGAGTTTGCTTGCAAGACATACTTCTGTATTCTGAACTATAAAATGTTGTCTATAAAATATTATCTGGTGTAATATATTGTATTCAATATATTATAATACATATATATATATATAAACATAATATATATATATATATGTATATTATAACATATATATATAATATAAATTTCAAAATACCAAAACCATATCATATTTTCTTGAAGCTAACTTCTCTCTGAGAGTAGTTTATAAACTGGCCTTGTGTTTCTACTAAATCACAAAATAGATCTACCTGTTACTAAAAAAACAAAAAAATAAAAAGTGATTAAGTAACTGATGAAGAGAAAGTTCTCTTTATCAGAAATGGCAGTTCTCTTCCAGAGAAAGAAAGCTTTTAAATATGATTAGCAAATGATTAAAAAATAAAATATTATCTTGTAATAATTAAATAAAAATTACTTATAAACAAGTGCTAAAATTGAATTCTATCAGTTATTTCTAGAACAATATGAAGAACCACTTTTTTTGGGGGGGAGGGGTGGAGGTTAGAGTGAGCGGGACAACATGGCGTATTTAAATTAATTCCACTGTTCCCATTGAAATCTTATATTCATATAATCTTATATTAATATTCAACCTCATTTCAATTTAAGAAAAGACCTTCATATTTATTCCTAGAATGAACAAGTACCTATTAGACATGAAAATTCTGTAAATACCATATAGTCGATAGAAAATAATATATATATATATATATTTTTTTTCTGTTTTGACAGCCATTAACATAATAAATGAAATCTTGTTAGCAAACTATTAATATAGCTGATATACATACTGACTAAACTTCATCTCAGGTAATTGTATTATTTCCCTATATTTCAGAGTTCCTTAATGGGTCTTACATTTGTAATGTTTAATTTTTACAAGTTCCCAGCTGCCGTGAAGAAGCCTCTGCAGTACTAGGGGAGGAAAAAAGTTGCTGTCCAAGGTACTGTACAAAAACATGAATTTTCTAATTACTCTTTCAAATACATCAAAAATATTTTTGAATGTATTTAATTCTAAGTGTCCTTAGCAAGCAATCTATCCTTGTTGAAATTCCCTACATAATACTGCAGTATCAGTGCTATGCTGTTACTTTCCAGGGCCTCTTCTGCTGCATTCCAGTATAATCACACGTTCCAGCACCCAGCAATGCTCTGTATGTATAATCCGTCTGAAAAAAAATCTGTCTTTCACTACAGACTAGTATTCAACTACATGTAAATATATATAGATCTTTGAATTCTGTATGGTACATGTGAAAAAGCTACCCTCTAACATAAATCTAGCTAACATACTATCCTGGCATTCTGCAGAGCAGTCACTTGATGTAATTTTATCTGCAGTATTTGTCTTATGCATTTCAGAAGCATATAGGTTCGTGCATTAATGCAGTAAATAGGAAACAGAATCCTGGATTTAACTACTACATTCAAAAATAACCAAAGAGTGCAAGAAAATTTAATGCATTTTTTCCTTTTTGTTTAATTAATAAAAGCGTATTTTTATTTTGAAGTGTAAAACAATGCAATAGCCAAGAACTGCAGTAAAGCTCTCAGAGCTAATAGCTGTATCCAATAATGGTTTCAAACACCACCTTTAAGCAAATGGTTTTCATTCACTGTTTAATCAGTGAAATCAACAATAATCCCCATATGGCTAGAAAAGATGTTTGTTAAAAAAACCTAATTTATGATTTATTTATTTGTAATTTGTCTTAAAGCTGAGATGCTTAGAAGAGCTACTATTCTGATAATTCAATCATGCTGACAGAGCTGGTTTCACCTAGCAAATTCTCTCTGCAATTCACAGCATGGCTGACAGCTATCTGCATAGAAAAATAGCACAGTAACCATTTAAATCATGCAAAAACATTTACCCAAGAAGATGTAGCAAAGATCAGGATCCAGCTTCCAGACCCCATGAAGCATGAAGCTGAGAGAACAATCCACTAGCTTGCTCGGGCCAGCAGTGTCTCTCCTACACTTGACCTAGACTGCCTTACATAATGAGGAATCAGTGCTGTATCCTGTGTGGAGGAGCAAGCTGAATGTCATCACTGGCAGAAGTAGGGAGAACTGGCAGCAGGCAGGCTGGTAGTTAGCATGGAGATCACGAAGTCTGCTTTCCCTGAGTGCTCTGGAAGAAAGCACAGGAACAGCTCAGAAATGCTGGTGTCATTCCTCCCCTGGAATGAATGACCGGAAGGACTGAGGGTGTTACAAATGTGAGGCAGAGAGCAAGTGCAAAAGCTGCATCTGTACTTACTATCAAGGTAACAGAGCTCCTCTCACGTTGTCTACAGGATTGCATAGCTACAGCTAATAGGAGAGCAACAGCAAGGCAAAATAAGAAAGGAGAGAGGAGAGACACAGACTGCTGCTGCAGACGTTTGTCTGTATATTACTCATTGTGGTGAGTAAAAGAAAAGTATTGTTATAAGATAAAGTACTAGGATAAATTTCCAATGGGAAGATCTGTTACTTTACATAAATCTATCTGCATGCAAGTAAGTTAGTTTCTGGGGAAACAGCCATTTGATATTTGTTTCACCTGGAGTTACAGAGGTTAAACTGCTTACTCTAGAGAGATTTTGATGTGTTCAAGAAAATGATGGGTAAGATACATTCCTGATTGTGAAGATGTTTACGGTTCTTTTATATATTTTCCAGGAAGAAATCCTGGGATATTTTCTATTTTATTATTGCTTGAAACATATTAGTACTTCCTCTGTGGTGGGCACAAGAGGAGAAAAAAGTATGCAGGCTTAGCCAGCAGTTAGAAACCTACACAACTTTGTTGTCTAGAAAAAGCAGCGTTATATTAATGAAGATCATTGCTTATAACTTGTATTTCATATTTTGTTTGAATATTTTAATAGTAAGTAAAGAGCCTTAAACTCTAATAATGCATATATAAATTATTGTTGAATGAATAGTTTGAGTGGTATAGTTTGTCCTCATAAAAGAGGGAAAGGTTTCACTAGGATAGTACAACTTATATTTTCTAGTTATATTTGAAACAGTTGTATTAGGCATGATCAAAAGTAATTGCAACTGGATGTAAATTTCTAAAATCACAGATCAGTATGGTGTTGACAAAGAATATGTTACCTGCAGAATAAAAGAAAGTATGACTTAATAATACTTAATGTCATTTTATGAAAGTACTTTCCATGAAACAGTACTTATGAAAGCAAGTTTGATGCGCCTCCTTTTTTAAAGTAGATGTGATTGGGGTGAATTGATTAAATAATGAACATAATTTTCCATACAGCTCTGAAACTTGCCACAGGCTTCATTAAATGCTAGAGAAAGGAGCTCAGCAACAACATTGTGGCAACATCAAAAGACACATTGCTGAACTCAGCAAAAGTTGTAATATCACAAAGCACCCATATAAAATTATTCCTGCCTTAAAATAATAAGATGGGGAACACTGACTGGAATTTACAGAAGTTAGTTTAGGTACAGGGAGTATTACACGTAGTTATGCCATTAGCAGAGTAAACACGATTTCATCTGAAATGGGAAAAGTAAGGTGAAAGGGATAAAAAATAAATAAATTAAAAAGATATATTTTAATTATAATTTCTATTTTCTAAATAAGCATACTATGGCTTTTCCACCAAATGTGATCAAGTTAAACATTTTTTTTTTTCTTGAAATATATCTCTCATTAGTCCATTGTGGAATATGATTTTCTCTGCTTTCTTGAGAATGTCAAAAAAAAAAAAAAAGGAAAATCAGTAAAGACAGATCACTCAATATACTAACCGTGCAGCTAAATTGTTATTTGGAAACACACAAAAAGAAAAACAAGGGACATATCATTTGAGAGTGATTTTTTAAACAATCGTTGTATTTGAAATCAGTAACTTTTTATCTAACCACATCAGCAAATAATATCAAAAATACTTTGGTGCACTTATTCTTTCATGCATTAGTATTGGCTTCTGAGGGTTACCTACTAAAACTTTTTATAAATTCAAAAGCCATTACTTTTACTGTTGCATTTGTTAGAAAAGTGTACTAGAAAAACAAGAAAACTGTTTATACATTGGACCCAGGTTAATCAAGAGATCAAAATATCAAGACCTGTATTAGGCTATGGGAACATACAACGAGGGCTTCCTTGAACTGCAAAACTTGGTGAGTTCGCTGATCATGAACTCACTCAGAACTACAAAGCAGCCAAACTACTCTACAAAAGACAGCTCAGATGCCTCCACAGCCATGGCATAGTTAAGATATCAACACAGATATCTGCCTACAGAAAATGAAAAGTTGACTGCATCAGACAGAAAAATAAATAAACTTTATGGAATAAATTATAGGTAAACAAACCCAACGCACAGGAATTGCTATCATACTATCTAAATGAACAGACTAGCAAACTTGACTGTCAGCATTACAAAAACAATACGTAGTTTGTTTGATATTCCAGTTTAGGCAAATATCTGTTAGACAAGTTTGATACAGCTGATTCCATCTCTGGAAAAATGATGTATCAGATAAAGCTTTTCCAGAATTATTTTCCATGATATTGCCTACAACCTATATATCTAATTGTAGAACAATTACTTAGATTCATCATACTTCTTCATAACAAGGACAAGTAAAATACAAAGCAATCACTTGTAAAAATTAAATTATTATAATTCACCTGCAACCCATAGTTTCTGTCTGGAGCATAAAAATCATTTACCTCACTCAGGATTTATCTAAGTTGTTCTGCTATTGGGCTACAAAACTTCTTGATTTATAATAGTTCTTACAAGCATTTTTGCTCTGGATTAACTTGGCCTGATCTTGTGCTGGCAAGTCAAGAATATCTTAATACAAATTAATACAATAACTGCTTTCATATAGGGCTGTTAATGAACAACTCTTTCTGAGCCAGCTGCACTGATAATGTGAGTGGTAGAGTGTAATGCTTGACAGCAGCAAGAAAATAAGTCTTTTATATCAGTCTCCAAACTACATTATTCTAGTGTCCCAGTAGCAGAAAGATTTCTGTCAAAGTAAGTAAGAACAGTTTAAAAGGAAAAAAATATTTTTTAAATTGTATTCTGCAAAAGGATACAAATGACTGTAGGACAAAATGGTTAGATTGGAAAAGAATTGATTAGATTTCCTATCATGCATGAGCAGAGATAAACATATAAATGTTTGAGAGTGTAACATGTGAGTTGTACGTACAAAACAATCTTAACTTCAGCTATAGCACGTCTTATAAAGATAGTGCTAGTATCACAGAAAACTGTAGCCTTACGGAATAAATTCAGGATTTTTTATGTAAAATTTGTCAGAAGTTAACAATGCTCATCTCTAACATTATCCTTACTGGCTGAGTTTACTTCAACAGGGTTCTATTGCATGCTGAAATGAGAGAAGCAGTATCTCACAGACATTATTCCTGCCAACAACCTTGAGTAAACAGGACGATTTTTTTTAGACACCTTGCTTTTAAGATGCTTGGTGCATAAATAAATCATTACTTGAGGTTTGCTCATACTAAGATAGATTCCCTTTGGGATTTGGTAAAACATTAAAATGCTCCAGTATGACTGACTGGAGAGACTTCTACAATATCTTGAGGTGCAGTTTTTTGGTTCTCCACCACCACCTTTATCCTTCACTGACCTTGCTTTCTTTTCTCAAAATAATTTCTCACTTGTGTTTCTGAACAACTTTCACAAGTGATTCAAGCCGAAATGTGTAAACAGTGGATCATAGTTTTCAAAAAATAAAACCCAATACCACAATGAAACTGTATTTAGACCTGATCTCATGTACTCTTATCAATAGACTGATTTTTTTTTCCGTATACAATAGTCCATTATCCCAGTCTCTCTGATATCATTGGAAATTTTATTTTAATGTATGTGCTACTTCAGTTAGAAAAAAAAAAAAAAAAAAAAAAAAAACAACAATAAATGCACTTCTTTTTTGAACTAGGTAGCAAAAGCTTTTAATTTGTTTCTGTGAACAGTACCTAACAGGTCAAGACCATTAAACAGCATGCTAAATCTACTTTGCATATACTTTTTATGATTTGATCCAGTCATATCACAATAACGATCATTGGCAGGCTAATGAAAAAGGAAGTTTCTTCTCCGTTACTTGACTAAACTTCATGGAGTGTGTGACTATAACCAGTACCCAAATAGGCAGAAGTAGAATTTTAAATATATATATATTTTTTCCTCAGATACCTTACCATTCTTGAGACTGTATTACAAAGTATTTTAAAAAATACTAATATTTTCAGACATATTGACTACTACGTTTTAAATATGAAATGTGTTAATGTTTTCAAGTCTCCTTTCTGGACTATTCTGTTTGTTTAGTATTCTACATATTTACAAAAAGATCCCTGATTTTCCTCCAAATGCTTGAGTATTCTGGCAAATAATAGATGAAAACTGAATCCCCATATTCAGTGCAAATTCTTCAAATAGGTATCACCAATAATATAATTTTCTACATACATGAAGTTTCAGATATTTGACATTATACACAATCCTAAAATATAACTGAATAAAATATAAACCAAATAATAATAAAAAAAAGTTCTAAAATTCGGTACTATTAACATTGAGTAGGTCAAGGTCACCGTAATCTTAATGGTCACACATTGTTCTTTGGCATCTTTTGCTCTGCCAATAAGACTAGGTATGATAGCCTTTTAAATTTCTTTCCCAGATTTTGATAAGATTTATAGGGCTGCTTCTTATATCCCTGAAAATATATATATGCACTGATTTCCAAGGCCACTGTTTTTGTACTTAACTCATTACAAAACAAAACAAAACAAAACAAAACCAAAACACACACAGACACACACACAAAAAAACCCTCTGCTGTTTTGCATTTTTATGTTTTGTTTGTTTGTTTGTTTGTTTGTTTTTGTTTTTTTTTTTTTAATAAAACTCCCTAAACTAGCTCCTGTGAGCTGAATAGTAAGTAATAATACATATGTAGTTTTGGAAACTAAAAATTGTAAGTCATCCACAAAAACTTTTCTATACATGAACAAGTTCACAGAAAGGTCATACCCTCTAGCAACATGCAAACTGCAAAAGACAAAGAAAGATCACTGTAATTCTGAATCCAAGTAGCTAATTTTTAAAGTTCTTCAGTTGACAGGGAAGGCCTGTCAAGGAAACTATATTTAGGCCTGTGTTAGGTTTTAATCTCTTTTCAGTTCTTAGAAATACTTACAGTTCTAGAAAAAAAAAAAAAAAAAAAAAAGAGTAGAATTCATATCTGGTTCTTTATAGAAAAGTGATACTTTTTGTGTTGTACTTTGCCTAAGATTTTAGAAATCTGCTTATTAACTGTAGTTAATAAGGTAGCAAAGGTGTGGGTGACTAGTCACTTGCTTTCAAAATACGTATATGTTCCTCACCAAAGATGATGTTCCTACTCCTGGATTCTGTTCCTCCTATATCCATCATTTGGATGCTGCCAGAAGATGAATTCTCTTTGATTTCTTTCTTTTAATCCCAGGAGACTGATAGTTAATTGAGCATAGCTCAATCTATAAGAGCTCAAAATTGCCTTAAAAAGCCTGTGTCTCTGGCATCTGCAGCTGTTTTCAATAGAGGACTTACTGAGCACTAATCAGAGCTTTTCAGGATGTATATTCCACATCCAAACTTTCAACATGCACACTACAGTTACCGTTCAGCCTTTTTATCCAGTGGATAAAAAGGTTAAATGGATAAAAAGGATAAATGCAGATGATGTACAGGTCTCTAGGTCAGAGCATGACTCTGCCTTTAGTTCTTCTCCATTAACCCAGAGAAAAAGACTAGTGAGAATGAAACAAGTCTTTCAGGTAAAAACCTTTTGCCTAAACATGAAACCTGTATCCATACCAAGAGATAATGATCCAAAATGCCAGATATTCCAAATCTTTGTAAGTTGGGAGAAAGCCTTCCAGAGCAGGAGGATTTAGGGTGCTGTTAGTTTTACCCTGCAAAGCCCAGGTTCTGAGGTCAGTCCTTGGCTGACCTATATGCATTGTATTATTTATTTATATAGCACGACATTTCTTTATAGAGTCAGGCTTGTATACACATTTCACTTACAGCTTAAATGGCCCCATGTCTTGTGCTTATGAGCACTACATATAAGCTTTAAGGATTTCAACTCTGTTTAATCTAAAGAAAATTCAGTTACTCCTAGAACGCCTTCTTTTTTAAACCTTTGTTACCTGAATAATACCTCCATTTATGTAAATGCTGAACTAAAAACATGATAATTGTATAATCATCAATAGTATTTTGATTCTTACAGGACAAAGAGTCATATAACTCTGTGTTATTTTTGGACAGCTAAATTATTTTGCTTATCTTGCTCATCTTTTTGACACAGCTGTCTCTTTTTCATTCCCTCTTGTTTAAAAGTAAACTGAATGTCCTTGTGAGCCACTGTTTGGTTTGCTGTCAGGCAGACTAAAAATAAAATTAACAACAAATTGACCGAAGCAGTATGTAAATAGCTGTGTGTTTTAACGACATTAGAATTCTATGTTTGTCTCTTTTGGATTGATTCAACACTCCCTCAAACAATGAGATCTCACAAAAATCTGTTGCAGAAATTCCCCTTTCCTCAGCCACTTCTACTGAGTGGCTCTTCAAGATTCAGCTATAGCTATAATCAAATCACTAACTGGAGGTCAGCGAAGGAAAATGCTTTGCCTACTTTTTCCAGATCACCTCAGCTGAATTCAGCAATTTCTGTTATTTATGACACTTTAATAAAACAAAATTATTTATTGCATAGTTAGTTCTTCAAATTTGTTATTATTATTATTATTTTTATTGTTATTGGAACCTGTGGTAATGTGACCTTGAGAAAACAAGTTTCTCCTCTTGATCCTTCACACTGCAGTACTAGTGTGCCTATTACAGCCCTGTCAGAGACCACATTCCTCCTGAAAATCAGTATCTCAATTTACATCAGTTCTGGGTCATTTTCTTCCAAAATGTAAATTTTGGTATCCTTGTGTCTAAAGGTGGAAGTAATGCAATGCAAACCTATCTGCTCTCTTATCTCAGAAGAACTGACTGAAGCCAGCTAAAAGCTCCAAGTCTAAATGGAGTCACATGGGAAGGAGATTGAGCTCTATCCCACAAGAGATGTGAGGATTCCTGTGGTATACTTAAATAGAAAAGTTAATAGAACTCTCTGCCTATAACCACAGCTCTGTGGTCTCAAGCCTTCCTCCAGGATTTCTATTTTGATTTACTGTCTTTCTGGAAATAGTGGGTTTCCCACTAAATTTTCCACAAACCTACTCCAACACTCAGAGACCAGGATCAAGTCATTTTTTCTTGCCCTCCCCCCCCCTTTTCTTTTTCTCCAAGGGCAAGTGATTGCTAGGTGAAAGGCATCAAGATGTCCTATGCTGCAGGATAGGAAGAGAAATGCCCTTGAAAACTTTTATCTGCTGAGCTGCAGCCGCAAGCCTGACAATCACTTTAAAGCTGATTTCATGAACAAAGTACAGCTGGCTAATTCCCGCTATTCCTTCAGACTACAGGTGCATTCCAAAAACTAAATCCCAGTGGCAAATTTATATCGCCTCAAAGGAATTCAGAGAAAAAGGAAAAAATAGAATACAGCTGACTAATCTGTGCATCAGGGAGAAGTTCTTTTGTGACCTCTAAAGGACACAATTTTATTACAGTCATCTTAAAACAGAACTATCCATATTAGTCGTAAGAAAATATTCTTTTAAGTTGAAATGAATTGAAAAATTGCTAAGCTAACAAATTTCAAAGTTGAATTGAACAGCTTAAGCCTTATTTGCTTTGAATGTGAATTAAAGTCCCAGACCAGTGGTATTTCCTTTTGTGTTAAGCTGTTCCAAAATTTATTTACAATAAATTGCATTTTACAAGGTGGATATATCTACAATGAACTGCTGGCTGTTATGTTATATTACTTTGTTGACAGACATGCTGAGAAGTCCCAGCATAATATATTCTCCAGCAGTCATATGGGCTTTTTAATTTTCTCTTCAGAAAATTCATAATTTTAATTCCTTAATCCTGGATAAATCTCGTTGCTACTACCTCAAAACATTTTTGCGGCTCCCACATAAAATATTAGATCTCCAAAATGTTTCTTGAACAAAATGCAGAATATTCTGAGGAGACCTGATGGGACGCCTGATACCTGATACCTGATACCATGCTCATGTCCCTGCTTCCACTCACTGCTTCCCATTCTGTTCATCACAGGATCACATCAACCTTCTTTCCCAGACCATTTACTTTAAGTCCGTTTTTGTCTTTTGAATATTTTATTTATTTATTTATCCATTCCATTTGAAAATGAAATTTTCTATTCTGCTTTCTGAAGTCCCAATTGTTGTATCTTACATTTGGCTAAACACAAACATAGTGGTTAACTTAAATTGTTAAAGCAGACTACCCAGCTTGCTCTGAAATAGCAACCTTTTTGACCTTGTTCTTTTTTCATTTCATCTATAAACTTTACTACCAAAAACATTACAGCATTGTTTATATAACTGACAAAAGTACTAAATAAACCAAATCAAGAACTTATTCATAGGGGGATCCTTCCTAGAAATACCACTTAATTACATCTTCTCATTACTAATATTTAAAATTTATTAGTCCAGGCTTAGCACACATAATATATTCTCTATTATTTTCAAATAAAGTAAGTGCTTAACAAGGTAATACTTAGAGCCTTAAAACAACAACAACAACTATCCTTCTACATTTTCCTGTTTAAACACATCTATGATCTAGTCAAAAAATAATAATTTGACAAGATTTATCTTTATGTTGATTACTGTAGTTACAGCTTTAGCCTCTAAACATTTTTTCTTGCTCAAGTCCAAAATTCTTCAGTATTTTACCTAGAATTGACATGCATGTAACTAATCAATAGTTCTTTCAAATGTAATTTTTAAAATGTATAAATTTGGAGTAAGATTGGTGATCCTCCATTGGCAGTTCCAAATTTCACAGTTACTGGGGCTTGCTATAGTTAATGAATAATAATACTGTTCTTCAAGCCTTCAGTGCTTAATCTTCTTTATTTCAGCTTTTGATATACAGTCATAAAATGGAGTCCATACCTGATATGTCAACATTCAGTGTCCAGAATACCAAAGATAAAATTATTTAATATTGCTCTCCTTTTCTTCTCATTTGTGTTAAGGATGTGTTGCTTAACTGCAGTCTGCTATTCCGGTAAAATGTAATCTGCCCGTAACATTCACAAGGATTACTGTTAGTGTACACTTACTTTTGAACCACACTGAAAATGCTCACAAATGTCTTTGGGAATCACAAACTTTATTTTTGGTATCATTTGGGCACATATCTATCTATATATCATGAGTGCCTGTGCTCACTGAATGCCACCCCATTTGGAATAGCATAACTGCCTTTAGTGAAACATGTCAGTTTCTTAAAATGTCAATAGTAGGAAAGCATTTTCTGTATTTTTAGCAATCTTTTAACTGAGATTTGAAAATGAAAACAAGGAGAAGCTGCAGGCCTACGCAAGTCAGACACGACTGAGATATGACTCCTGACTTTGGAGCTGAAGGATCCTCTACTTTCCAAATTGTATTAGTGATTCTGTTAATGTTTCAAATAAAATTTTAATTGCAAAGATTTTTTTTTGAAATGAAAAGTTCTCTTCTGGTTTTACTTTCGTAAAAACTATGCAAATATATTGTTCTGGTCCTATTATAAACCCTTGAAAGCTAATGTTCTGGACATTGCCATCATAAGCAGCAGATGAAGTGTCTGAAAGAAAATTCATTTTTGTGATTTGCTTTTCAATGCAATAAAATTATAAATGAAATGAGGGGTGGGTTGGTTGGTTTTGGTGCCTCCCAGGAGATGCAGAACAGCAGCATTTTTTGAATCTCTTCACATCCAAAACACAACCAGAGGGCGCCACAAAAATGCCTGAAACTCATGAAACAACTCAAGAGCAGTATGAAAAATGGTCTTTCCTAAATGGAATCACACTGAAAAGTACAGTTCCAGCTATTTAGGATACATTGGTAATGCTTACATTCATTCAAATGCTTGTCTATCTTGCTTTTCATACTTTATATCCAACAGAATCCTGAAGTCTTAGAATCACGATTTTCTTTGACTAGGAATAGTCACTAGAATACATTAAACTTTAGGAACATTTCCAAGATTCCATCATCATTTTCCCCAGAATATAACCTTCCTATTTCCAAATATCTTTACAGTCTACCTGCTATGAATATATCAGTATTAGGGAAAGATTAATCACAGAATCTCAGGATAAATGGAGAATAAAGCATTTTCTGCATTTTTTGTGGTGATGAGAATTCATTGTTTATATAGGTTGAGATTTCTTGCCTGCAGAGACAAGGAGCCCTGCAGAGCTATTGCAGGCCAAGAGCTATTGATCTTAGCTTCTTATTGAAAAGAAACAAGAGGGAATTGAAATAAATATAGACATATAATGTGACAGTCTCCCAAGGGATCTTAAGTTTGTAATAACAACAAGAAAAATAATTACTAAAGCTGACTTAGATAATTTTGACCAAAATCCTGCAAGTATATTGTTAAACAAATGATTAATTTTGTGAAAGAAAACTAATGATTTTTTAAAAAAAGATAATAAAACCTCTCATCTAGAACATTATCTTGCTCATTGAAACACTTTCAGATGGGGGGAATTAGTTTTCCTCCCTAAATAATAATAATAATAAATAGAATAAATAGTTTAATAAAATGCAATATATAATACAGTACAAAAATATGATTTTGTTTTTATTAATATACAAATCTTAGAATTTTATTGGTTTTGGTAAACTAAAATTCCCGAGCTTACTATTGAAAAAAAATGCATAAAACTATGTACGGATTTTTCCTCTATTGCTGTGGCTCAGTTTTCATCTGTGGTTCAAAGTTTTTGCTACTGAAATGTTAACTGCTTCTTAAGGTATTCATAGTATGCACCCATGTGAAGCTGCCTACTTCACTGCTTTTACTGCTGAAATTAGATTGCATTTACATCCTAAAATAAAAAGTGATTGCAAACATGATTTTTTAAATTATTATTTTTTTTTTCAATTTGGCAGAGAAAGCAAAATGAAATATGCTTCTTTGCTTACATTAACAATTTTTTTAACCAGTAGAGATGGACACCTACCACAAGCAGAAATTTCAAACTGGACAAATTATACTGGAAAAAAACAAAAAAACAAAAAAACAAAAAAAAAAAAACAGAAAACAAAACTAAACAAAACAAAACACACACAAAAAAACAGGCATTTCTCTGTTGTATGCTTACATGTTGTAGTTCAACCTTGCAAGGCCTGGCTTCCCTGCAGATGCTGTAGGGTAGCAACACAAGAACAGTAAAAGCATTTCTACCACCTTATCTCTTGCTGCTTGTACCCAAATGATATGGAGATAAAACCAGTCTAAGCCATATCCGGATAAGACAGAATAGCAGATATGCTGGGAATGGCAACTTGTTTGATCACGAGAAATAAGAACTGATCAGAGACAGAAATTTTGTGCATGTGTAGAGACACTTCTCTATTGAAGAAAGTATATATGCATGATGTGTTGTTTTGTAATAATAACCTCTTATTTTTTCAAATGTACCTAGTATCTAATACTTCTATTTTCAGTAAGATTGAAGCATTGTATATCCCTGTAATATGAATATCCAAACAAATGAAGTTTCAGAAGATTTTAGCCTATTGTTACTTAAAATCTCAGTCAGCAAATACAAAGTAATTTGTTGGTAGAGCATCATGCCCAAAGTTATTTTCTCCAACCATTTTGCAATATAAATATCTGTGGAAATTAAAAAAACAAAACAAAACAAAACAAAAAACATTTCTGTTTGTTGGAACTAAGCCTGGGCCTAATTTTACATGTTGTTGCCTTTTAAAGAATCCAAAACTCTTTTTTTTTTGCCAGCATTCTGTAGATGTTGATTGCCTTTCAGTGCTCTGTCTAAATGGTTAGAACTAAAGATTAATTCCCCTTGCTCTCCATTTATTGTGCTCAGATGCTATCCAGAATACTTAATTTCAGAATTGACCACATAGTCAAGAGCTTCAAACACAAAGAATACTTTCAATTATCTCTGTTTGTGTCATTACATTGAAGCTGTCTTTAGTGTCTAAGTTAGTTTTGCTTGAATTTACTGATAAGTGTCTGAAATATTGATCCTCAACCTGTTATTTGCTTTTGTGGCCTGTTCTAATGCACTTTCAGAGTTCAGTTGGCCTTTTTCATCTGTTGATCACCTCCCATTATCCACATTTTGAGAGAAGCTACACAAGATCAGCTTGGTATTCTTCTCAGCCTGTTCTTTAAAACAAATATGAGTTTGTCAAGATCCCTTTGGGCCACACTTATTGCAAAGTATATGTTGATATTTGTGATGGTTTTAGATTATTTAGAATAGACTACTGATATTGAATACTGAGGTGAATACCTCTATTTAAAAGGTTCTTGATTTTATGGATGGGTTGTAATGTTAATGAGGAGTGTCTGGTTGTATCCTAACCTAAAAAGTGATAGCGAGCTATCCCACCAATTTTTCTGAATTCTTATTACTTGTTTCCAGTTAAGACTGGCACCTACAGATCTTCTGGGTTGGAAATTTCATGAGTGGACGATGACCGGGTAACTCTGATTTAACAGAAACAATCAGGTACCAACAGGGAAAATATTCAGAACAGTCTATATAGAGTACCTGTTTAGCTAAAGCTTACTAACTGAAGATGCCCTAGGTTTCTATATATTGAACAGGAAATTGAATAGCTGCAAACACCTACCACCCCTCTTAAAAGACAGTCTACCACTTTTGCAGGCAGTGCTCCTGTAGTCCTGAGTTCCAGGCACTAGCTTTGGTGGGACAGCTTTAAACAGCTGAGCCAGGAGTCTACTCACTCATCTGTTCTGACCTGGTACCTTAACAGTCCTCCAGTCCGAAGCCCACAGACTAACTGCTTTCAATTCCCACCTTTTTTTTCCCCCCATTATAACTGCTTGTCCAATTAAAGCAACCAACTCATTCATAGACCAGCGTAATACAAGTGGAGCACATAGAATACAGAAAATATTACAGAGATGCTTTATGTTTGTCATGATTGAATCACATTTTTTCTTCTACCTCTCTTTTTTTCCTGAATATTTTTATTCATCTCTTTTATGCATGCTTCAGGTCACCCTTTTCCTACCTCCTGTAATTTGTTCCCATTTAGTCCTTTCATTTCAGTTACAAAATTCCCTCTCATCCATCCACACATTAACATTTAGCACTTTGTTACTAGTTATGAAGCCTTCCAAAAACTGGTCACTAATTTTGGGACTCAGAAATAAATGGGACTGAGCAAATATAACTGTAGGCACAAAATACCAAATATGTCTTGTACTAACCCTTAATACAGAGGAGAATTTATAAAAATAAAATCATATACATTCTAGTTTCAAAATACAGCGTATATAGGGCTGTGTACATACTTCTGTTTTTTCAAGTAAATGCCACCTTTGCTTAACCTATTAATTCCTTTTTATTTATTTATTTATTTTTATTCCCAGGAAAATCACAAAACCTTTTCCCTTATGGAGAAGGGAACACACACAAGTCAGAGATTTACAGATAGTATCATGCCTCTTCTGCTATTCAGTATCCGATGACTCTGGCTTGTCCTCCAACCCAGAGGTTTGTTCTTTCTCTTAACGTGTAATTTGAGTTTAACAAGTAATTTGATAGCTTTCAAAAATGGTTTGAAACCTTGAATAAGAAATGAGAGTAGCTGGGACTAATTGTAAAGAACAGTGAAACCTGTCACAATGCATATAGCCAAGTATGGTCTGATAGTTTTGTTTTGTTTTTTCTCTGAGCTGGTAATCTGAAAGTCAGTAAAGCAATGTTATATAACCTGCTTTGAAGCCCATATTATCAGAGTTTTAGAGAATTTGAACAAAACAGAAAGAAAAGAGTATTTGTTGCACAGAAGAAGAGTGAGTTGGTTTTGCTCATCTTCTAAAGTAAGCTGCTCAGGGTAAGACTGTATCTTTCTACTTTTCACAGTATCAGGTGTGGTCAAAGCACTTAAAAATTAATAATAAATCATAAGTAAATTCAAAGCTTGTGAGAAGTGCCAGACTGACATCTCTGGAGAATTTTCCTGTCTATTTATACAAAGAACAGGCAGAGTGGCAACACAGGCTTGTTTACGTTGCATTTCACGTAGGGTGCTGAACAGCCATCAAATGGTAACTGCTCATAGTCACTAAAATCCTAGAGAGATCAAGACTGCTGTCTTCATATCGTAAAGCAGAAACAGGGCTTGTATCTTATTATCAACCACCAGAATTAAGTTGTTTTTTTTTTTTTTTTAAATTATTTTCCATTGTAATGACACTACTCCAATAATAAAACCCAAAATACTGCAAAATTTTAACATTAGAGGAAGCACTATTTGCCAGACATCTGTTTATGTACCATAATGTTTTCTTAATATATGTTAAAAGTAAGTTA